TTTTTTTTTTTTTTTTTTTTTTTTTTTTTTTTTTCTTTCCCCCGTATCACCCTGGAAGTGAAACGCATTTTAGGCCTCAACCTTAAGGAAACCCGAATCATAGCAGTGCAGGTGACCTGAGAGTCTGCACCTGGCCGGATTCCTTCGACGTGCCTCCACCCCCGGCCCCCGGACGGGCAGCACCTCGCCCCGCCGAGCGAGGAAGGTCCGGGGCGGTCCCCACCTGGGTCCCGGCCCCGACGGCCGGAGAGAAAAGAGCAGCCGGGGGTGAGACGCCGCCGCTTTGCCTTTTCGGCGCCGGGGCTTGCTCAGAGGTGGCTTTTAATTACTAAACAAAGCGACGCGTTTCCTTCACGCCCGTCGGGAGCTGCCGCTTCTTTGCCAAGCCCTGATGGTGAGGGGAAAAGCAAAAAAAAAAAAAAAAAACAAAAAAACAAACCAGCAAAAAAATCACCAACCCCAAAAAACTCTTAGGAGAAGATGCAGCTCGAGGCGGCGAGGCGTGGGGGGTTACTCCAGGTTGGCTAAAAATAACTTCTCCTAATTAAAGAAAAGTGACGTCAGACGTGCAGGACGTAGAAGAGGGGAAGGCAGCGGACTCGTTACTGGGCGAGCACGTTAAATAATTCAGGGGCGGCCTGGTGACCGGGCTCTTCCGAGGTGCGGCCGGCGGGGCCGCCCGCCTTGCCTGGCGCCGGGGTCAGCCGAGGAGGGAGCGGGCAGCGGGGCCGAACTGCCCGCGGGTGGGCGCGGAAAGTCCTCGGGGCCGGTGCAGCACCATGGCCAGAGCCACGCCGGCACCGCCGTCTCTCCCCGTCCCGTCGGGCCGCCCGCCGCCGGGGTTGTTTTCTCTCGTGCAGATGAAGGAGAGCCCCGCGGTCCCCGTGGGCGGCCCAGGGGAGGAGGACGCGGGCAGACTGCGGGCGATGCCACCGGAGCTCCGGAGCCCGGGCAAAGCCCGCCGATCCCTCCCCACGCTGCTCGCTGGTGCTTTGCGCTGTGCCAAGGAGCCATTTTGTACGCATTCTGCTCAAATTGCGCCAAAAAGAAACCCCCAATAACCTCTACCTCCCCCCAAAAAACCCGAATATAAGCAAAATTAAAAAAAAAAAATCCACAAAATCCAAAACCTAAAACCAAACCGAAATACCACAAGCGCAAGATATTTTCTCCCAGGTACTGCGGCTCTGCCTATACGGAGAGGGTCAACGCGAGAGCTCCGAGCACAGTAAAGCATTGCCGAAAAGGAACAGGGACCCAAAATACTGTCACATATATTTCTGCCAAGAGAATCACCTCCTTTGGCCGGCRGAGAGAGAGGATCCCGTCTCTATCCCCGAGCAGCTCGGCGAGGTGCGGTGATTCACCCGCAGCATCCTCGCCTGAGCGATGCGGAGGCCCGGGGGCTCAGCACGGCGGGCGGGAGACCTCGCACGGCGGCAGCCGGGCAGAGTGACGGCTTAGCGAGGCTGGCGAGGCTGGCTCTGCCCGTCTGGGCCCCCTCGCCGCTGCCGCGGGGACAACGGGGCTGGAGCGGGGCCGCATCGCCACCGAAGCGGCCCCGGGAGTGGGGAAAGCTGTCGGCGGCGCCCCGAGCTTGTCCGCGCCAGCGGGGCCCCGCGGTGAGTAACGGGGCCTCTCTCGTTAGCGAGGCCGGTCCCTGGGCCAGCAGAACCCCCGTGCCCGCTCGGCACCGCCGTTCCCAAACCCCCGGGCTGCCCTCCGAGGCAGTGGGGCGGCTGGGTGACTTCCCCCGCCCCAGCCGCGAGCATTCTAGCAGCGACCACCCTAACAGCAGAACCGATAAATTAGGAGAAAATCCAAGGCCGTAAAATTAAGGAGATCCGATTCACGGCAATTTTTTTTTTTTGCCTGTCTCCAGGATAGATTAAAATAAACGTCGGCCAAGCCTCCTCCCGAGCGGCTCCGGGCCGCGGAGAAGGCACTGAGGGGCTGGGGACGGAGAAAATATTTCTCCCCACCTTGCCCAGCCCCGTCGGAGCGGCCGGGGCATCCCAGGGCCCGTTTCTCGTTAGACAGGAGGCGGAAAAGAACCGGCGGCTCCCGGGAGCCAAGCAGGGGTGGCCGGGCTCGCCTGGGCGCTGGGAGCAGCGCCGGCTCGCAGAGGGCTGGCAGCCCTCGTCCTTTAGCTTTTAGCCTGATTGAGCTGGTAGATTTTATTTATTTAATTTTAATTTTTTTTAAAGGGGATGGCGGGGAGGGGGAGGGCGAAGAGAGGGAGAAATAAATAATCCGAGCGGAGCTCGCCGGGAGCCGGAGGCGGCGGGACCGGCGGGCAGCGCTCTGCCGCGGCTGCTCCCGCCGAGATCGCTTCGTTTCGCGGATCCCTCGTTTTGTAGCAGGTYACATTTTATCCTCGTCTGGGATTTAAAGAAAGGCGATATTCAGAAGCGGTGAGGGATTACAATTTTAATTTTTTTTTTTTAAGTGCGGAGCAGGTCAGTTAAGCACCCCAGATAATCATATTTACCTCCTGGCATTTTAGTCTGATTATTGTTGCTGTTATTATTTGTGTGTGCCGGATTCGCCGCTACACGCACATCGCGTTAAGAATCTGTGCAGGAAACAGCAGAACCTGGAGGGGAAATAATTAAAACTACGGGAAAACGGGGTGCAGAGAGGATCTGTGGGGGATCGCGGGTACGTCCCCGGGGCATGTCTTGGGACGGGCGGGCTCCGCGTTTAGGTGCGGAAAAGGGGTCTTTCGGGCTGCCCCCAGGTGCGGAGGCCGGACGGGAAAGGCATTGCTGGGGGAGGAGAAGGTGTGAGAGAGGTGCGCTGCATGGAGCGGGGTGGGGGGGCATGGCGAGGAGAGGGGAAAATGGGAGAAGGCGTCGGGAATACAGAAAAAAAAAAGGATGAAAATGGAAAAGGTGGGGAGAAAGAAAAGGGCAGGGAAAGGGAGAGAGTGAAGGGGAGAGGGGGAGAGGGGAAGAGGAGAGGGAAAATGAAGAGAGGCGAAAGGGAAAGGGAAGAGGGGAAAGAGAAGAGGGGAAAGGGAGAGAGGGGAGTGCCGAGAACGGGGAAAGGGAAGTTAGTTGCAGGTGCAGGGCCGTGCAGGGGTGCTGCTCGCCTCTCCCCCGGCCCAGCGGAGCTGCGGCGGGGGCACGTCGGGGCGGGAGGAAGCGGGGGGGGCGGTTTGAGGGTGTTGGGGGTGAGCGATTCACGGCGCAGCCCCTCGGCACAGGCCGGGGCAGGGCGGGAGGAGGCTGCCGGTGGCGGGGCGAGGCGGAGGGGCCGGTGGCGCCCTGTGCCCAGCCGTGCCCGTCCCGTCCCGTCCCGTCCCGTCCCGTCCCGTCCCGTCCCGCCGCAAAGCCCATCCCGGGCGGGAAAGCGCGGGAAAGGGGGCGCCGATTTAAATGAGGGGTCGGGGATTGGCTGGGCGCGGCGTGACGTCACTTCCCAAAGGGGGCGATTACCATGCGAGGGGAGTAGAAGTTGGGCAGCGGGGCGGGAGCGCGAGTGCCGCTCGTCGGGCCGGGCCGGCAGGCTGGGCACCGAGACCCTCGGATGGGCCCCCGCAGCCCTGCCCTGCCCGGCCCGGCTCGGCTCGGCTCGGCACAGCCCGACCTGTCTCGGTACGGCGCGGTTCGGCTCCGAGCCCCCGCGGCAGCTCGCCGTGCGCCCGTGGCTCTGCCCTGGCTCATCTTCTTCGCTTCGTATTTATCTTTTTTCTCTCTCTCTCTTTTTTTTTTTTTTTTTTTTTTTTTTTTTTTTTTTTTTTTTTTTTTTTTTTTTTTTTTATTTTTTTTTTTTTTTTTTTTTTGTGTGTTTCCCGGTGGCAGTTCCTGGCCGCCCTGCCCCGGCCGTGCCCGCACCTTGGAGCGGACGGACGGACGGACGGACGGATGGCCGGCATCCCCGACGGAGGGATGTTTCTGTCTTTGGTTATCTAGCTGTATGAGTGTTGTGGAGCCATCATAAAGCTAGATAACCGAAAGTAGAAATGACTTCCAGACCTGCTCGCCCGGGGGAAGCGGCCGCACCRGGACCGGCAGTGCAGAGACGGCCCGACTCGCCGCCCTGGGGGCTCCAGGTAAGGGCTGCGGTTCCGCGACCTCCCCGTCGGGCCGCTCCGGGCAGCCCGGGGCTCCGCGGCAGCGGGCGGGAGGGACGGGGACGGGGAGGCGAGCCCTGCGCCAATTCTTCCTTTGCCAGATAAATCCGGAGGTTAATTATCGGTTAAACGCACCTCAAAATTCACTCTTAGGCTGCGGGGTGTCGCGGCTCCGGGAGGATGGAGAGAGCGAGCGCCCTCCCCAAATAAATATTCCTCCTGTCCCAGCCTACGGGTCAGACTACGAAACCCCCCAGCTTCTGGCAATCTTTCCTTCTCTCTCTCTCCCGCTCTATTTTTTTCGGCTTTGGATTTGAGCCTGGCCTCCCTTTGGAAGGTCAAGTTGGTGATAATGTGATCACTTTTCTGGCGCGGTGGCTGTTGCTTTTGTCTGTAGCTGCGGGGGGATGCCCGGGAAAGGGGTCCCGCTGCTGGSTGCACCCCTCCGGCGTGCGGCCACCCGGCCCTGGGGCTTCTTTGGGAACCAAGCTCTTGGCAAAGCACAAAGCCTCCCTCACCTCTGCTGCAAGCCGCAGAAGTTGAAACATAATATGTATTACAATGTCTGGCAAAAAAAAAAAAAAAAAAAAAAAAAAAAAAGGGTGGAAAAGAAAGAAAGAAAAGAAAAGAAAAGCAATTGGCACATCTGCATTCCGTTCCCATGGCGACACAAAGCACCGTGCTCTCCGCCGAGCCTCCCCGGCACGTTTTCCCAGCTGGCGTGGGGCGAGCGCCCCTGGCCGGGGCCGGGGTCCCCCGAGCCCCCCGGCACCCTGAGGCGGGCTGGGACCATCGCCACCAGCCCCTCGCCCAGCACTGGCGGCTCCCATCCCGCAGGGATGATCCCCGCGCTGCTGCCAACCCACACGGGTCGTGACAGCTCCGGGAAGGCTGCCGAGAGAAAGCTTCCCGTGGCTGGGGTTGCGAGTGGGCTGTTCGCTGGCTCTGTGCCCCCCAGGAGATGCTGCGGGAGATGGGGAGGGCTGGCAAAGATGCTGCCGCGTTGCCACTCGTCGGCGAGGTGGAGCGTGGGCACCCTGCCCCATCCTTCTCTCCTGGGTGGGCGTCCCTTGCCGAGGGAGAGGGGAGCGGAGCGGGGCCGAGCCGCCCGTGCCCAGCGGCGAGCGGGGGCGGCGATGAGAGGTGGGAGCCCCCCGCTCCTCGCAGGCAGGTTTTCCACCTTCCCTTGCACGGGGTAATGGCGTCAGATGCCACGTAGGCCCGCAAAGCTAAATCTGCCTGTGCACCCTTCCAGGGCCAGCAAAACACCGCCATAACCACAGTAAGGAAAAAGGATCTCAGCCTGAATTTGGCTATACCGGGAGAAAGAAAAGTTCTGAGGAGCTGTTATTATATATTCTAATGAGAAGTCATTGGAGAAATTAAAAAAGGGCAGAGAAAGACGAAGACGCCAGCACTAATTCCGCAGGAAGCCTCCCAGGGAAAAGGCTGTGTGAGTGTGAACGCTGAAAAGCATGAAGGCCTGGAATTAGACTATCATTTAGAAAGCGTTACTAATCCGAAGTTACAGCAGTAATTCCATGATTTGCTGGGTCCCACACGCAGCGCCAGAATTAAAGATACGGATTTTCTAGAAATGTAACTCAACTGTGGCACCGAGTCTCGGCAAGATCCGAATGAATCATTCATTCCAAAGGCAGCGAAAGACGTGTCATTAAGAACCAACCTCCTTCTCTCCAGCCCATCTGGAATATGTATACTCGATGCAATCCCAGAAATTGTGGAAGAGATCGGAGGTGGGGAGGAAGGAATGTAGTCCTTTCCCTCCTTTATTATGTTGGCTATTTTTAAGAAATAATTTTCCAATTATTTTCACAATATTGTGAGTGGCGCTCAATTCTTCTCCTATTTATTTTTTTCCCCCTTTCGTGTGCTAGCATCGAGTCAGGTGCAAAYGGTTTCAGTGGAGATGCTTTAAAACTAGACTGAACAAAGCAGGAGGGAACTGAGCAAGGTGCYTGATGAATGCATTTATTCTGGAGTAATGATTTGATGGGGGATGGAGGAAAGAAACATTCAAATTCCTAATGAATGTAATTCAGGAGGAATCATTCAACCAGCATGTTAGAGAAAATCTGTTTGGTGGGAGTGTTCTGCACTGGCAGAACCCAGGAGGTATTTCTGTCCCTGGCTTTTGTAATTGCAAAAGGTGAAAATATAAAAAGAGGATCTGAGGAAAAAAAATATACACACATATAATAAATGTCTTTGTGTGTGTGTATATAAATACATATATATATATATATAATTTTATGAAATAAAATGGAAGTGTGGAAATCAGTGTCTATATGCGAACTCTTACAAAGGATCGATGCAAGCTTTTTCACCTTGCTGTTCAATCAGCTGATCAGAAACCACACTTGACTTTTACTATATTTTTTTCCCCACAAAATCACCTCTCCTGAGCTGRTTTTTTAGGTATTTTTTCAGGCCATGTACTCGGTACACTTACCCCAGAGCAGTTCCCCTGAAGGGGACTGAGACAAGGGCTGAGCGATTTGGCCTTTAATGTCCGGGAGAGAGAAATTGYGGTTGAATTTTTTTCTGGTGCTTTAATTCTTCATTTTTGCCCCCATTGTTGGCATGAACCTRTGGGTATCTCGAGGAGGTGTGAAGGCAGCACCCCCTGAGTTACCAAGGGAGGGGTCAGTGAGTGACAGGGGACAGTGGTATGAGAATCCCCATCTCGTGCGTGTGTGGGTGGGGGGCGAGGYGGCGGGTGAAGCCCCCCTGCAAATCCCTGCTTGTGACATACCCGCTGCATCTATGGACTCCCTGGCAGCCCACCGACAGGTTTCTGCTTTCTGTCTTTTTCCTTTAAGTGCCATCGCGGAAGGAAGGTCCCCAAGGGTCTGTCCTTGGGCCAGGGATTGATTTTGGCTAGGCACAGCTCCCTTTGTGGTTTTGCCTTTTGCCCTGTAAGAGTAGCCGTTAGCTGTTGGCTTTGGATGGATCTTTTCCCCTGCATAGGCAAAACCCATAAGGGAAGGCATCTTTTTCAGCTGTGCTGAGATGAGAGCCCATGTCCCGGCATTCCTGGTTCTTTCTTTTCTCAGTGGGACTCTCCTGGTGGAGCAATAGGATGCAGCGTAGGCCAGACGTGGGTGAGGTTCCTGGAGCTGGGCTGTGATGTCTTTGTTCTTCAGGCAGAGCTGGGGATGGGCAGAGGGAGACAGAAACGGAAGGATCGGCATGTGYCATTGGGGGATAAACGGAAAATATCGTTTATGGGTTTTACCCTAGGGAAAGGATGCTCTAGGACATCGCGTGCTCCAGCTCATGATCTCCCATCTTTTCCTAAAACTTGTCTGCCATGCAGTGGGTTTGGCTTGGARCATGAGATGGAGGGGGTTTATACCAAATACCTGGGCAAGCCAAACTCAACCCGTCTCAGGGTCAGGTGGAGAAGGGGCTGTTCAGGCCCTGCTGTTTGCAGGAGCTGCCTTGGAAGCCAGTCTGTTGGTTATGGATGAAATCCCATCAATGGGCATTTTTGCAGAATTGCCTGGCAATGGCGGGTTCCACACTTGAGGTTGGGCTCAGCCATTTCTTTTGTCTCTCTTGGCTCCCAGCCCCTCCCTGCACCCTTGATGCAAAGGGATGGTGCCTCCCTTTACCTGCTGCTCTGCCCTAAATTGTCTGTGCCGCCCAAGAAAGGGCAGACCCCCGGGGTTTGGAGGGTCCAGGTGGCTCGGTGGCCATGGATGGGTGCTGCTCGTGCACTGGGCAGGGATCAGAGCTCCCTGCTGGAAGCACTCTYGTGTCTGGGCAGAGGGAAGGTGCTGATTTGGCATCTGTGCAGGTGCCTGGTGGTGTGGGTACCGCCTGTCACCCCGACACTGCTGCTGCCACGTGGCAGCCCCTCGGTCGCCCCGAGTCTCTGGATSTCCTCAGGGGTCTCCAGCATAAGATGGACATGTGGCTGCTCACACTGGCTTCCCCAACACGTTGTACAGGGAGTTGCCCTGTCCAGATCAGGTGTTTTTGGTGTTTCGTGCCCACAGCCTCATCACCTTGGGAAGGTGTTTGCCAGGACCCACGTCATCTCGGRCTTCTCACCATCCCTCTGGGCACACGTGCTTATAACCAGTGTTTGCAGATTGAGGCTGGGCCATCACACTGCCCACGGCCGGGCTCCTGGCATCTGCAGAGTCAGGACGAGGTTCTTTCGTGTTTTCTAATATTTATTCAGGGGCTCAGGTTTGGTTAGGAGCGTTTGCCTTGAAAGCTGAGGAGTGGGGGTAAAAAAAAGAAAATGGGGGGAGCAAAAGAACACAATCTCCGGCAGTTAGCTGTCTCTTGGAAACTCAGCTTGCTGTTCCTATAGAGGCTTTCTCTTTTCCTTCACCCTGGTCTGGCCTTAAGTACCACTTTAAGCGGGCTTTGCTCATTCACATCCAGGCTCCTTAGAGCAATTGAGCCCGCGGGGGTTTGAAAAGAAGGGACAGTCCTTCAATGGCAGGACCTTGGGCCAGGCTAATTGGTTTTGGTTCAAGGGGATACTGGATTTGTGAAAAGCCCAAAGACATCTTTCCCACCCAAATCCCGGCTCTTCAGAGGGGGAAGTGAGGGGTGCTGGGTGGAGAAGGGAGCTGAAAGAAAGATGGTTTAGTTGAGGAACCTTTGCAAGGACCCGGAGACCCAGCAGGCTCGGCAGGGATGGGTGCAGCTGCGGGCAGCGCCCAGGGTGGCACAGCAGCAGAGGGACGATGTCCTTCCTCCTCGGGGCAGGTGGAAGCGCTGGCTGGCAGCAGTGGCCTGGTTTCATTAAAACCAGGCTTTTTCAGTCCATGCCAGACTCCCATGGAGAAGCCACAAATGAAGGAAGGATGGGATTTGGGTCCMGAAGCCAAATTGTGTCTGTGTGCTYGYCTGTGCAGCCATGGGGGGAATTTGTTGAGGTCTCTCATATCTCATTTTGATTTAGGAATTTATTTATTTTTAAACATTGACTCTCTCTGGCACCATTCCAGCAGTCCCACGACCTTTACTCTCCCCAATCCATAAAAATCACTTAATTATTGGGCTGAAAATCAAAGCTTGGAAACAAAACCAGCTTATGGGACCATCAGTTCTTGATATATTTCCTGAGAGGACATATTTCTGGGCACCTTCAGAGCAGAGCACGCAGCTTGTTGGATATGAGATATCAAGGCATTATTTATTGAGGAAGTCTTCACACTCCCTCATCTGTTATAATTAACTGATGACATTTTTTCTTAGGTTCAAAATATGGTGAAAAAGTATAATTAGCACGAAGCTGAGGCACTGCATTAAAATGTCTCCTATAGTTAATGTAGGGTAGTCGTGCTATTTATTATAGGAGGAGCTGGCTCTGACCTCTGTGTTGCCTAACACTTTTTATTGTAAAGATTCTTGAACTTTTTTTTTCTTTTTGAGAACCTCTGACACTCCCATTGTTTGCTGCGGGCCCTTGAAATTCGTCCGGGGGAAGCTCTTCGACTCGAGAAATGCCTATTCTTTGTCCTTTAAATTCCTTTCAGGTTTAGCTGAATTATGAATTGTTCAGAATCGTGATTTCCCTTCGCTTGCCTCATGCGGGGGGGAAAAAAATTAAAATTTATTGTTTCCCTGGAATAATAATAACAGATCGGGAGCGGGGTGAAACCACAGATTTCCACCACTTTATTGCAGAGCTCTGGACCAGCCAGGGAAGGTGGGAGGGTGTTCACAGCCAACTCCATCACCCCTTTCCACCTTTAGGTCGTGTCCTTCCAGCACAGCCCCTTCTGGGAGAAAACTCCTCCGGGTTCTGGCGCCAGGAGGAAAAAGTGTAGGGCATGTGGGTGTGTTGGCCTGGGCACTGCCAGCCCCAGCAGTCCCCTTCTCCGCCKGCCCCAGGAGAGCAGCCTTCTGCCGCTGCCAGATAACATTAGCCCTGCATTTCATAGTGGCAGAAATCTGTGCCGAGGCTTGGGGCTTGAAATCTCTGTGCCCGCGCAGGATGAAGCAGGGATGGGTGCGGGGTGGAGGAAGGGGAATTTGTTACACTTGCCTACAATTGTTTTTTCTTTTTGCTTATATAAACAATCTATTATTTATTAGCTATAAATAATGCATTTTTCTGTATGTTTAGAATGCACGTGATTTCTGTATATTAAAAATGTACATGGTTGAAGGCACCAAAGCAAGCGCTGGCAAGTCGGGGGGTACCTGATTTCATTTTGACCACGAGATATTAATTCAGYTTCTCCCTGCCCATGCCCTTATGAGGCTGACAACACGGTCACAGCCTATTTTTAGCTCGCTCCCTCTTTTCCTGTCCAGAGTGGCAGCACGGCGAGGTGGAATTAAGGTTGCTTGGACAGCCATAAATTGGTCACTTCCTAACTTTSAAGTGCTTGACCACGCAATCTGAGCGAGGGCTCTTCAGGGCAGTATTTCTGCATGTGGCATTAAGTGCGTTGGCTGGGGATGTCAAACACAGGGGTAGAGAAGCCGTAAAGCAGAAAAGACCCATCAGACTATTGAAAGTGTTCGATTGAATAGATGGGGGAGTCAACAGAGCCCGCACTTGATCTGAGCTAAATGGCCAAGAAGATGTCTCCAAGCTGAGTGGGGGGAAACCTTTGTTCCTTCAGTCCCTGCCTTGATGTTTTCTTTGCCTTTGGTTTTGCCTCGTTCCCTCGTGAGGAGGCTTGGGCTGCTGCTCTTGAGGAACCTTTGGCTTGYGTAGTGAATTTCTGTGCTGGTGGAAGCCAGGGTGTCCCTAGGAATGTGCACACACACGCACGCTCCCGTCAGCGCCCCAGCAGACGTGTGCTACCAGCTAGCAGGTACTTGCTGATTGGCGTCCTTGCCTTGCCTTGCCTTGCCTTGCCTTGCACACTCCCTCTTTCCCATGTCACTGTCAGGAGCCATTCCACGTACTGGAGGGAAAGGAGAGGCCTTTGTGTGTTACATGGGAACGATAATCTCTTTTTTTAGCTGCTGGAAGAATTACTCCAGAGGTGATTATATGCAAAGCACATTTATCTTTGCTTGTAATAAGCAGTTTGTTGGGTTTTTTTTCTTTCTTTGTTTACTGGTGGGTATCTCCATTCTGACTCTCAGGAAGATGCTTGGMTGTCCGTTTTTGAGTGGAGTGGACACCTTGAGCAAATCAATCTGGGAAAGAAGCAGCCCTTTGTTTTACTTTCCCAGGATAATGCAGCCACAGCCCCTTGCACATACCTTGTACCAATACCAGAGCACTCTCCCCCAGCTGGCAGTGTATTTGCCCTGGGTTATAATTATTTGACCCAGCAGTTGTGTGATTCCAGGATTCCTGGAACCTGATACCTGCCTGGGGCTGCTTCTGGATCAGCACAGGTATCTGAGTGTCCTGTGTTTGGGTTTCCATTGTTTGGCTTTGGCTTGTGTTTCATGAGCATCTCTTTCATAACTTTCCCCCTCTCTCCTGCCTCTCAGTTCAGCAAAGGGCCTGTCTATCTGGATGCAGGCAATAAACATCTGTTCTCACCCTCACTTCTGTTAATGAGATAGAGACAGGTAAGCATCACACATACCAACTTCCCTGCTCTCAGCAACATCAAGGAAACGGTGACAAGCTATTAATGGAAAGTGATGGTCTGGGTGCTAATTAGTGCTTCCTTTTCAACTTTTACCTACATGTCTGCCGAGATGCCCATCCCAGCCTCTCCTCTCTCCCTGCATCCCTTTGTTTCCAGCGCGTTCTGTGTTCACTGTGCGCATCCCATGTCAAAGAGTCTTCTCTCTTTATTTTTTCCGTACCGATTGCTTTCTGCATCCCTTCTTTCCCCATCTTTTCCCTTTTCCCCGGCGCCCTGATTCTCCTGTGGTTGTTCCAGGCATGGAATAAGCCTGATAYTGTAGTAGGACCTGAAAGCTTGGGGATGGGATATGTGAAGTTGATCAGGAATTGCTCATCTTCATCACTGGGTAGTAATATTTGCTCGTGGCACTGGTTCACGGGGTCAAATTACCCTGGGGACATAAGGTCAGAGATCTATCCCCTCATCCCACAGGTAATGCTGTAGGGAGCCTCCCAGCAGCTCACAGGTCCTGATCATGGAGCAATTAGTATTTAAAGCAGATCTTCTGGTAATGCCCAGAGACCAAGTAGGACAGGCCTCCATGGTGTGAGCCTGCAGGAGATGACAGGTCCTGCCCCAGAGAGTTTGTGATCTAAAACCTAAATGCTTTTGCTGTCCACCAGCCCCTGTTAATGGCAGGCTTTTAAGATCCACCCCAATTTATGCTGCAGCAGCAGCAGCAACATGATTCCTGGTCTCAGCTTGGTGCCCCGTCTCTCCCGTTTCTCTTTCTTCTGGTCCCAGGGCTCTGCCTCTTCCCCAAGGACACTAATCATCCCCTCCTCACCTTTTTTGCACGGGCTGTGGGTTTCTTGCTGCCAGGCTTGTGTCCCAAGGAGCTGCCTAATCTRCCCCTGTCATTCCCAGTCACAGGCACCGCACACACCACAGCTTTATGGGGAATGCTTGCAGGGCAGTGGGAAGAGGCAGCCATGGTTTGCACATCAGCTAATTAATTTTCATGACTGAACGATGCTGCCTGGTCTCTTGTTTATACTCCTCGCCTCTCCCCTTCTCCCCCTCCTCGCTGACACACACACAAGACGACACATCTCGTAGGAACGTCAGCATCCTTCCACAGCCTTGAGACGCGAGCGGTTATTCTGTTGGCTTGTCAAACGCGGGTTTCCCTGCTTCATGGTACACAGGGGCCCCCTGTTTCACATTTGCTGATTCTTATTAGACCCAGCGCGCCAGGGCCCTGTCTCTCCCCGCAAAGCAACGCGCCGCATCCCATCCATAAATCCAACCCTGGAACAAAGCCTCTTCTACCCTGCCCCATATTTCTACCCAGCCTGCCCGCTTTCCCCTCTCTCTCTCTCTCTCCCCCTCTCCCGTGCTGAAGGTTTCCTAGTGCCAGGGAGATATGATAATTCTTGTGAAGAGAGCATGAAATGCCTCTGCTCTTTGTGTCTGTTTAATTCAATGAGAATCCCAGCCCCAGATGTCATGAATGGTGGGCTTTGTGCTGGCCCTTCCTAAGCCCTAACCGCCAGCCCTGCTCTCTGTCTTTCTTGTTTCCCACCACTGGATACTGATTAACAAACTAAATTATTTTTCCTCCCTAATGATGTTTTCCCACTTTGCCCACCAGGCTGGAAGAAGCCACGGGGAGGAAAGAGTTTGTGCAAAGGATGAGATAGCCAGGGAGAAAATTAAAGAGACAGTGTTGCTCTCTGGGCTCTGGCAATGCAGGTCCACTCGGCTTTATTTCCTTATTAGAGAACGGGGTCGTGTCTGGCTGTATTTTAYGTGGCTGGGTGTATTTCAGCCGAGGAACGGGCTTGAAAGCATCCACACAACGTATGCTCTGGAGCATGCCAAGGTCTGTAACTCACTCTCAATTGTGTGTGCAAGTTTGCACAACCCCAAATTTARGGTCTCTTTTCCAAACGTGAGTGACATGCAGTAATTACTTGACATCCGTCCATGCATATGGGAACCTCTTTCTAATTGAGACAAATTCTCTTTTCCTTAATCAGACRTGACTGAGAGTTCCTGGAGTGGGATGCCTTGGGAAGGGCTGGGACGTCTCCACCTGAGCAAGGAGAGGTGAGTCCCTGGAAGTCTTGCTGAAGGATCCAGTCCAACTCATGCATGGGAGACCAGCTCTTTTACCTGATCCCTCCCTCTCTCCCACAGCCAAATTCCCAGCCAGGCTTTTGAAACAGGGCCAGTTGTTAGCTGCTGCTAGAGAAGACCAGCAGTGATAATCCAGGGAGCCTGGATGGAGCTGGAGGCAGGTGGCCAAGGCAAGATCRTGCAGAGCCACCTGCTTCTTKGAGCCCAGCAGTGCYTCCTTGCTGGGCATCAGCAAAGCTGTGTCCAGCAAACACCCTCCTGGAGCAGGAAAAGAGGATGGGTGTCAGCCTTGTGAGGAGAGAAGATGGTAGGGAGGGAGAGAACCTTTCAACAGCAATCTGGAAGTCTGAGTTGTGCCATTGGGAGTCACTGGGAGGGTGTCGCTTTGGCATTTTGATTTAAAAAAAAAACAAAACCCAAACAAATAAAATAACAGAGGACCCCCTGTGCTGGTGCTGTGGACTCCTGTCAGCTGGGACATGGGCAGGGGCAGGGCTGATGGACAGGGCACAATGGACAGCTGGGTGTGCTCAGGAAGGCTCTACAGTGGTGCAGCGCTCAGCCCTGAGTTTATCAGACAATACAATATATGTATTTATCTCTCACAGTTGAGAGCTCCAGTCGGAGAGGGACAGAGCCTTGCCTTTCCCTGTGCAGATCTGCAGGCTTGTGCAGGCTCAGTTCATGGGGCTGCTGCTCCTGTCAGAGCCACGCCAGTGCTGCGGTACCCAGCCCTTTTCCTCAGSCATGGTTCCCCTTTTCCTCATCTTCGACTCAAATTGGGAATAAACAGGGCAGAGGGAGTTGCTTGCCTGCACCCACCAAGCCCCTGCAAGCACACCCACTGCATCCAGCAAAGCACTGCCTCGCGTAYGGCCTTTGCTTCCCACTGCAGTCACATCTGACCCTTATTACTTCTGCAAGGTAGAACAAGGCAGGAAAAATGGCTGTGCAGTGAGTTTCTTCATGCGCCAGGATTTATTAAGAACAATAGGGGAAATCAATCCATCTATGTAGAATACATCGCAGGCTGCAATGGGATAAAGCATTTATTTCGCTCTTGAAGGGTAGAGCTATAACTCATGGGAGGCAAAACCCTTAGTGCTCCGGAGTCCCTTCCCTTCATGTGTGCAAAGAAATGCTTTAGCCCATGGCAACCTACCAGCTATTGAATTTGTGTGGAGAATCTGCCGTCCTTCCCCTCTGCCGGCCCCTTTTTGGAAGGCGAGTCACTCATTAAAACACACCTCTGGAAAAATGAAGGGGCTGTCGGTTCGAAGGCATCTCTGCATCTYGGTTTTACTTGAAACAGAAAGGGAATAGAAATGTCTCAGTGATTTAAAAGCAACCCCCCACCAATTTTGAATGGACAGATTGTGTTTAAACCAACGCAGGATTTGCTGCAACTTTCTGCTGATGCCCAAGGACCAGGCGCTGCAATTACAGCGGAGAGGGATGGGTTGGGGTGTTGTGACAAGGCGAGATGCTGTGCAGGGAGATGTGTGTTGTGCAGCTGAACACCTCCAGTGCTGACTAGATAGATGTGTGTGTATATGTATAAGCACTCCCTGTGCCCAGCTCTCTACTCGTGGTAGAAGGCATGCAGTGCAAAGGCTGGAGCTGTAGTTAGCAGGGGCAAAAGGTGACCAGGATTTGTTATAATCTTTCTGGGTGTGAGAGAGTGTGAAGCTGGGGGGGGGTGGGGTGGGTGGCATTAATAGTGAAATGGTATTTTCACTAAGCCTATTTTCACTGGGTCTAATCTATGTTGTGGGAAGAGGATCTCTCTTCCATAGGGCAGACCCAGCGAGGCTGGTGAGCTGTTTGGAGGGGTCTGGGCTGCCAAGGAGAGCGGGCTGTGGGAAGCCAGGCARTTGAGCAGACACATCGGAAGGCCTTCCTCAGCAGAGATGACTTGGTAGGTAGCGTGCTGTTGGGCAGATGGGGTTAATTCTTACACCCAAATCAAAAGGCAACCGAGGGGGGAATGTTTTATTAATGAAAGCAGCCCTTTGTGAGTATTCCTCCCGAGGCACGTTCCCTCCGCCCGCTGCCTTCCCCCCTGGCTGCTGTCTGGCCCCACGTCTTGCTCGGTACCTGCTCAGCTGCCACTCACCCACTGATAGGTTTCATCAAGAAATGTCTCCATATGTGTCTGAATCCTGAACCTGGGTGTGTGGGATGGGAGGAGGAGGAGGAGGGACGAGTCCTTGGCCACGCTGGAGACAGGGGTGTGCCACAGGCAGGCAGAGCTTGGGCTGTCACAGGTTGCACGTCAGCCCACTGATTGCTGCAATGGTGCTGCAGGAGTCACCTCTTGCTGGTACCAAGGAGCAAGAGAAGCAGAGTGCAAGGTAAACTGAAAGTGGCTGCTTGGGCRGGCAGGGGATGAAGGGAACAGCTGGAAATTGGGCTGGGGAGGCTGGAAACGCCTGACCCATCATCCAGTCCCCTTCCCACCCTGCTGCCTCACTGCCTGCCAAGCAATGGGCTCAGGAGAGGAGCAGTTGATTTCTGCAGCCTCTCCTGGTCTCCCTGTGCCCATGTCCTCGGGGCCCTGGACAGCTTGTTCTGTTAAAGGACAGGGCCGTGGGAGTGGCAAGGGCTGTGCGTGGAGATTATTTCTGTCGCTTTGTTAAAAATAAAACAAAAGCTTATGGTTTATGACAATTGATTCAGGAGAAAGAGGAAGTGGAGCTGAATTCCCAGAGCACCTTTTAGCGAGGCTCTGCACGCGCGCGCGTGTGTCGTACGCGTGTCAGAACTGAGCACCCACGGAAGGCCGGGTCGGGAAACCTCACATGGAAGCGGGGAAAAGACCCCAGTGCATGGCTGCTTCCCTGAGGGAACCCCCGCAGGGCTAATGTTTGATCTGAGGCTCGGTTGTACTCCTCTGAAACCTTGGGATGTCAGGAGCTCGAAGGGAGCCTGGGATGGAAGAGGATGYTATTTGCATTTTCCTATGAATGCATCTATTTGTATAAATCTGGTGTCTCTGTGCATGCGCACACTCCCCTACGCATGCATTTGTTTGAAGAGCAACACGCTGTCCCCGTAGTGTTCTCCGCTCAGGGCCAAAACTGGTTAGTCTGAAATTCAGACTCTTCCTGGAGGAGCTGCAACTCCCCTCCCCGCTTCAAACCTATGGACAGAGGAGTCCCGAGATGGTTCACCRTGCGATAGCAGAGTTTCATTGTGGGGGATGAAGGCTCCCCCTTTCAAATTTGCACAGACATCAAAAGAGTCTGGAAGGTTCAAACAGATCACAACGTAATCAAAATGCCAAGCCACCGTCTGCTTCTGCCTTTGGGTTGACAAGCAGGATTAGCACCCAAGGGAAGCAGGGTGTAATAGTGTTTCACGGGCACTGTGAACAGCCCAGGAGTGTGCAGAGTACAGAAAGGTTAGCCGAAGGGCAGGTCTAGCCACCGCCGTACGGTCGGGGACGGATTTTAGAGCGAGGAGCTGCACGCGTACRACCTCCGTGGATATTTACTTTAGCAGAAGGCAGGACTCTCCTGTATACCGGTGATGTCACGCTGGAAGCAGTTTAAGCTAAACTGGAGGAAGCCAGTTTAAGAGTGGAGATGTGCACCAGCGTGGCGAGGAGCASCAGCAGTTGACCTATAGTGCTGTCATTATAATGGTGTGGTTTTCCGTGTAGACAACCCTGGAGCGGAGCAGCTAGCCTGCCATCCCTTATGTTTCACTGTCTAGCTGAGATGTATAACACGGCCCTGCCTGCGTGCGCTCGCAATCACCCTCTGGTTCTCCACAGAGTGCTGGAGCAGATGCCGAATTTTCGACGTGCGCTGTGTGCCTATGGCACCGTGTGAAATGGTCCCATCGTGGCTAAAGACACATGAAATACTTCCCAAATACCGCTTTAGTGTCAGTAATTGCTGGTCTTGTCCTGAGGGCAGCCCGAGACTAGAGATGAGGGCTCCTTGGTTGGTATTTGGTGTTGCTCTTTTGGAGAGCTGAGCAGCACTGATGTGTCCACTGTGAAGCACCCATGGAGTCAGAAATGTATCTGTAGCTTTGTGTTTTCTGTGTAACCATGCATTTTATAACTGACCTTGTTTTGAATTTGTGTTAAACTAAGGTTTAGGAAGCTCACTTCTTTACTGATATCTCTGCAGTTTCGGTTTGGGATTAATTTTGTTTTGGCCAGGAGAAAGGCATTATTTGCYCATAACTCACTCTCTGATGGCTGGACAGGTGACATCTTGCCTTGTAGCTCTCAAAATGTTCTATCTGTCCAGGCCACATCTTCTAGAGCTGGTCCAGTGGCCAGCAGCCTTCAGAACTCACTGGGACACGCTGAGGCAGGCGGCTGCCYATGTGGGGATAAACCCGCTCGTGTCCGAGGGGAAAGCCACAGCAAGGGCACAGCCGCTTCCGTGACAGCGAGCGGGACCCAGGCAACGCTTGCTGCCTGGTGAAGGAGAAGTGTACCAGGATTGCTGCAGCCAGCAGGGCCGGGCAAAGGGCTGTGGCAGTGCTGCTCGCCCAGCGCCTTGGCGCCGTGAGCCGGGCCCGGCCTAAGATGGCCGCTCGCCAGCGCGCTCAGGCCCACCATGGCGACTCCTTTCCTCCCGGGGCCCCCCTTTCCCGTCTGCCGCTGCCCCCGGGTGCCCAGTGCCTCGGGGCTGGCGCGGGGGAGCCCGCTGGGAYGGGCCAGCTGCGGGCCTGAGGCAGCGTGGGCCCCGGCGGCCATTTTGCAGGAGGCGAGCGCCGCCTGTAAGATGGCCGCATGGGCATGAGGTGGGGTGCAGCGCTGCCTTGTCCTCGCCACGCTGCCTCCCTCACGCCGTCCCCTCCTTATCTTGCTAATTACCGATGAAGGCAGAACAATAACGGGAGCTGGCATGCCCCAGTTCTTTCTCTGCCACCTCCTTCCTCGGGCGGAAAATCTGCGCGCACACCTCCCCCCCACCGCCCGCCAGCCCCTCTGTGATATTAACTGA